ATTGCATCTTATAAATAGCTACTTTTCATGATTTATCAAATTCTGATTGATTGCTGGATCATTTTGTTTATATTATTATATTATACAGAGTGCCACAAATTCGGGGTATGAGCATTGGTATCTCGGTAACCGTAATAGATACGAACATGGTTAAATTCAGGCAAATTTGCGCTTTGTGATGTTCACCAAGATGCCATCAAAAACATTTTCTTCTGAGTTTTTTTTGCAAAAAAATGGATTTTTGAAAATCAATTTTACTTTTTCCTGTTGTTACTTTTTAGAAAATCAAAAAACTAATTGCACATTCTCATAGCCACTTTATTAGGGCTATCTGATAGTATTTTTAGGCTCTCAAATTAGCCGATGATTTGTGAAATACAGAGGCCGATTTAATTTTTTTAAATGCGGACCTGCATTTTTTATTTATAGGTTTTGAAAGAATTTGGTCTACAAAGGAACTATAAGTTTAGGGGTTGTAATATAGTCATGTAGTATTATGTATTGAGAGTTTAGCGGATGACTGTTCTTATGACTAACTTCTAATGCAACAATATAACACTAATTCACCACTAATACATCAAAACACTTAATTTTTATGTTATATATATTTTTATTTTTGTTGCATCGTTTCCATTTTTTAATTATTTTTTAATAATTTTAATATTTTGTACTTATATTTTTTAACTCCTGTCTCTCTTTTGTCTATAGTTTAAAAAGTGTAGTTTAATATTTCATTTGTTTGTAGAATGAAGAATGAAGTGGAAGGGGGGTAATCACAGCGACCTTAAAGATCTATTATGTGCCCCTTTCTTGAGTTATAACTCATCATACAGTAGTCTCAGGCTTTGACAAAATCCAGTATCTGAGACGGTTTTACAAAGGGTAGTTCTACATCTCCAATATCAGTTGCTGTACCAAAGTTTATGGCACGAATGGTTGTCGTCTCGGTAGACTCAGTGATGAGGTGTTCTGGTGTTTTCACATTTTCCCCACAGAATCTGCATTCGCTCTTGTTTTACAGCTTCAATCTACTGAGGTGTTCATTGAGGAGACAGTGTCCTAATAAAAAACCCGTGACAATCCAAAGATGGTTCTTACTTAAATCAAGAAAAATCATTGATTTTTCTTGGTCGTAAATCCTTAGAAACTTCTTTGAGTCCTAGACCGTTGCAGGATTTCCATTCCAGGTTACGGATGGAGTCTTCCAAGTTCTTGAGTTCTGCTTTTAGTTAGCTTCAATTTGGAAAGTTGAACGGTTCTGGTCCAGTTAGAGGGGTGGCTGCAACGACGTCCCGTAATCCTGCTGTTAAAACATAACAGCTGGTTTTGATATATAAAAACAAGTAAGGATTACGGGGCGTCGTTGCAGCCACTCTTAGTGGAGTATTCATTCCTTTTCTAGCTGGATCATTTTCTTTCTCGTTACCTGCTATCCCTTGGTGAGGTGGCATCCAGAGTAGGAGGGCTTGTTTTCTTTACCTAATTTGTTAAGCTTCTCATCAAATAAGATGGATAATTCTTATTTCCAAAATAATAATTCTATATTTCCTATCTAAGATAAGTTTTATGAATCTTTCGATAGAGTAGATTTATGCATGTAGGATGCTAGGGTAGGTGCCCATTGGTTCGCTGTATTTAGTTCTCGGTCCAAAATACTCCGATTATTTGTTCGTATATAGACTGAAATTATTGTATTGTTAATTTTTCTATTCTTAGTTTTTGCTTTATCATAAATTGTGTTTTTTGTAGCAACGCACATTTTGTATTTTTTGTACTTGTATATACAACTATATTTTATAATTTTAGAATAATCTTTAGCACCAAAAGTTATTTAATTTTATTTAATATCTGTCATCGAAATAAAAGTATCTAACCATTTTTCCACCATATACAAAAAATAATTTAAAATTAAAATACCGTGCTGTTGGAAACTTATTTTTTCATAGAACTTTCAGATATTATATAGCATTTATAATGAATATACCATATACCATAAAATAATCCGAGTAAACCATGCAAAAACAAGTTTTTATAATGGTAAATGATATTTAATAAATCCTTTTTTATATTACTCTTTCTATACATAATTTAAATTATACCGGATATGTTAGAATCAGTTACTATAATAACTTGATTTATGGAAATATACTTTTTATGATATTGTCAAGATATTTCAGTGTTAGTTACGATATTGTTATTTATTTTAGAATTATTTTCATTTCTTTTTCAAGTATTTTTTGGACAAAATAAAAATGACAAATATTGATAAAAAAGTTTACACACCCTATAGAAATTCCAAACCACAGCTTAAAGATTTATGATTGTATTACCTGTCGGCGATGATTCAGATGATGCCACTACTACTCGTATTATACTCGTAAAAAGTGAATAAACATCATTCATTCATAAAATATAACATAGCAGGTATTAATTTACCTTGTTTGATTTTCATCCAGTAGTATTATGATTGTAATTTATAATATGTATATTAACTATTTATATGAACAACATTTAAAAAAGGTATTGGGCGGTTACATAAATAATTCTTCAGCCCTGGGCTGGGGATATGATAACTGTTATCATATCCCTATATCCTATATCCTTGGAAATTACAATAAGTCACCTGCTAAATTTTCAGACATAAACGTATGTATATTTTCAAAACATATTTTCTACTGAACGATAGGCGTGATTAAAAACTATTTTTTTTTGTAAATTATTAAATAAACGACAAATGTGTGTGTTGGTTCAAATTATAATCGATTTTAATTCCAAAGGCAACTGTGACGACGTTTTTTTTTTGATCAGGGTTTAGGGTATATAATAAATGATATTTTTTATATTAAGTTTTTAAATATTTTATACAATATATTAATTATAATCGATTTTAATTCCAAAGGCAACTGTGACGACGTTTTTTTTTCGATCAGGATTCAAAGTATATAATAAATTGTATTTTTTATATTAAGTTTTTAAATATTTTATACAATAGATTATCTGGAATAATATATCTAATCTAAATCTTATCTAAATATGTAAATTATTAATGTAAATATATCTTAATTGTAAATCTGTGTTAAAAATCCGATTGTTGTTACCGTTCTTTGTACTCGGCGAAAATATTTCAGATGTCTTCTAAGATCATACATATGCAATAACAAAATTGTTAATATATTACACAATGTAGGCGCAGGAATTATTCAATTTGATTAAACTCTATAATATACCGGGTGGTCCAAAATGTATTCGGGAAACTTTCATACATATTTTTTTACTGGTTTGAAGAGTAACTTTTTGTTTGTACCTCTATCGTGGTGAATAAAATTGAATATAATTCTAGTCAGGTGTTTTTTTTGTCGTATAAACACTTTTTTATTATTGAGATTTTGAGAAAACTCTATTCATAAAAATTGTTGCTTGTTCTAAAATGGTTAATTCCGTTTATACATTTCCAAATTTCCATACCGTTTTAGAGAAAATAAAAAAAAAATATTAAAATTATCAGAAGTGCTTAAAATTAAAACGCGTTTCTATGATAATATAATTAATTTTAATTCTTTGATTGGACAATGTTGTTGATAGAATTTTAATTAGTCAATTTTTTTCCTGTTTTAAAATATTAAAGATGCAGAAAATTTATTTAGTTTAAAATGCTACGGAAAGGGTGCTAAAAAAAAGGGTGCATTGGAAAATATTTCGTTAATCAAAATTTTTATTATCTATCAAAGAATGAAATCGAAATTATGTTACCAAAGAAACGCCTTTTGATTTTTAAGACTTCTACTAAATTTTCATGTTTTTTTTTTAATTTTCTCTAAAACAGTATGGAAACTTGGAAATATAAACGAAATTAACCATTTTAGAACAAGCAACACTTTTATGAAGAGTGAATTTTTCTCAAAATCTCAATAATAAAAAAGTTTTTCCTCTTGTAAGGGCAATCCGGGAACATACTGTAGATTATAAATGATGACTATTGTAAGTGCGAGTATCGAGATCTACCACCCCTTAAAATACTTGCACTTATTTCTGGGACAACTTGTATTTTAAATCTTAGTTTGTGTAATGTAAGTTGTAAAGAACCCCGTTTAATTATATATTCTCTCTTTTTATAAGTTATAAATCATAAAAAATAAGAATACCATACCAATTAAGTGATATTAGCCAAGAAAGATAAGAATTGGCTATAACTCAGTAATTTTTCAAAAAAAAACATATTATAGCTTATATCGCTGAAAAGCTTAAAAAATGGCGCTTTTTATGAAGGCATGGCCAACTATGGTATCCATTTAAAAAAAAACATGTGTTTGTGTCAAAAATGACAGGCTTTAGAAAAAATCGGAGGACACAAACTCATTAGGGATGTGATTATCTACAACTTTTATCTGAAAACTTTTGGTCTAAAATAGAAAATCTGAAAGGCGCATATTTATGATCCCACAAAACTGCAATTCTTTCCCTATTTAACCGACTCCCTATCTCCAGTAGTTTCCGAGATACTCATAGAGAACATCGTAGGTAACTCACCCTGTATAAGACTAATTGTGAGTATTTTATATCAATCAAAGAATATTGCACACTTGTTTTTGGACCTAGCGTTTCGTATAAAAGATCAAATACTTTTAATTTTTCGTGAATTCATATTATTTTTACTTACTACTGTTGTTTATTGTGTAGTAATATCCTGAGTAATATAGATAATAATATAATTGATTTCATGTATGTAATTACGGTATTACGGATCGTAATACGTTTTTGACCAGTACAGAAATATGTAAAAGAACATTTAACCCTTAAATGAACTGTAGCAAAATAGGCAAACGAAAGCAATAGGTACTTCAAGTTAAATCACCACAATTAGACGACATTAAGAATGAAGTCACACAATCGAAAGAATCAAAAATAGTTCGAGGATTATGCAAAAAAGACAATTTTTAATTTGCGCTGAAAAATTTTGGGCGTGGACAATACACATACACAAGGCTGCTAAAATCGTATATAAATTGGAAAAAGGAACACATTTGGTATCACTTGTTCGGGTTTGTACGGAACAGCAACAAGGTTGGACAAAATGAACGCATTCGTCAGTGTAAGTGTGTCCACCTATTCTTACGCTTGAATTTAAACCATTCGGTTCTTTTGTTTTGTCCGATTTTTGTTTTTCGCGATACTTACTAACCGGATTTTGTTTAACAACATAAAAATCGTGGTCCTTTCCAGCTCAGTGTCACGGTTTTTCGGTGGTTTATATTGTGAAAAGTATATTAACGTTTTTTGTTGCACTTTCATTTAAAAAATATCGTGATTTATTATAACAGTAGTAGACTGAATAATTTATACAGGAAGAATTTGCCCCGCCTTCTTCTATTTTTTTAATTATTCTATGCATGTTGCTGCGTCATATTGCTTCAATAGATCAATCAGTTACAGGGTGAATCGTTTAATTTTTTAACCATAGCATTTAATTTCTGTTAATTAAAACTTTATTAAAAGTATTTTGTATGATTTTATAAAATAATGTTACATATTATACAATGTTTATTTGTTGGACTGCAATTTTATTTGTTGGACTGCGTGTTTAGAATTTTTTTAATATTTAGTATTTTTAATAATTAGATTAATGGTGCTTTTATTTCTTTTGATATTAATTTTTTTAAATAATTTTATTTAATATTGAACTATTTTTTTAATAATGTGACATGGTTAATTTTGATGTCTTAATGATGATTATCTTGGTCAACAATTTTATTAAGTAAAAAATGTGAGCTGAGAAGTTAAAAAAAAAATTTTAGTATTTTTAATAATTAATTAGATTAATGGTGCTTTTATTTCTTTTGATATTCATTTTTTTAAATAATTTTATTTAATATTGGACTATTTTTTTAATAATGTGACATGATTAATTTTGATGTCTTAATGATGATTATCTTGGTCATCAATTTTATTAAGTAAAAAATGTGAGCTGAGAAGTTAAAAACCAATTTTTTTTTATCTTTATTAGTTTCTCTAGAGCTTTTTGTAGCATGTCGTATACAGGGTCCGGCCATAGTGCGTCGGGCATCTGTAGCTCCTAGAATAAAAAAACCTGAGAATTTTGTTTAAGTGCAAATCTAAAGTATGTTCTAGAATGGATTTCAGGAAAAATTTTACCTTCTATAGGGTGGCTCAAAAAAGTGTGAGTCGATTGGGATTTTTTTAAAATGAAACACTCTGTATATTATTGCATTTTTGGCTTCTTTTCAGATCACTTTACATAATCCTAAGATATATATATAAATATAATATAATAATATATATATTTCGATAGTTTCAGATGTATTAATAAATAAATAAAAAATATCTATTTTTCAGCCTTTATTAAAAATATTATTAAAAATACAAGATCTGTCTTGAAATCAAAATTATATTAGGTATTTACTTTAGATGGTCTGTATTTACTTTGCTATAAATATGGTAATCGTAAATCATTCAGGATGTTCAAAATTCTACGCCAAATTTTCTAAAATATAAAATAATTTATCTTCGCTTTTTTTTAAATGGAACACCCTGTATATTATTTTTCTAAAAGATGGAGAATTAAAAAATAAACATTGTTTGTGTTTAGAGTATTTCAAAATTTTTAACGGTTTTGCAGATATTCGCGGTTTTATATTATTTCATATGGCATAGTAAATTTTTATCAAAGCTCTACCCAATTATTTTTCTCTCGTATTTTACCGTGGAGAGCCATATGAAATAATAGATACTGGCAAAACCATTAAAAATTTTGAAATACTTTAAAAACAAAAAATGTTCATTTTTTAATTTTCTATCTAATAAAAAAATAATATGCAGGGTGTTCCATTTTTTTTTATATTATTTTTCATTTTACTTCTTGTATTTGTAATATTTTTGTTAATGAAGGTTGAAAAATATATATTTTTTATTTATCTGAAACTATCGAATTACATATATTCATATCTTAAGATTATGTAAAATGATCTGAAACAATTCTTTTTTGTCCTAAATCGATAATCTTGATTTTTTAAAATTTTATATGCATAGAAATTTATCCCAATTTCTCTCAATTATGTATTTATAAATGTTACAAAAATGTTTTATTGCAATTTGCATATTTTAAAACAATAAGACATTAAAGAAAATTATTTCATATTTTTTGTCAATATTCAATTATTTATACAATATATTATTTAATTTCAATAAATAAGGAGATTTCCTGAAATACCAAAGAGATAATATACTTAAACTTTACAATTCTTCAGCCTTTGTTACCAGTATCGTGATTTATATTAATAAACAAAGAAATTTTAAACCCGGTAACCTTGCCACGCCCATTTTGCTCTAGTACAGACTGCGTAACGAATTCAGTTTTTTAAATTATTTTTTATATAGGGAGAGAAAAAAAAATATATTTTTTTTACTAAATTTTAATAATATCCTCGATTAGTTTGATTTCGATTTCGTTTCCTAATTATATTATAAAGGCAGAGGCAATATTACATCACTTTTTTTAAACCATTTAGGTACATCAAAATGTTTGAAATTTGATGTCTAGTAAAGTTTTTAGAAGAAATTAATATTTGGGTACAATGTTATACAGGCCGTTCAAACAGTTGCTATACCTAAATATTCTACTATATTTTCTATCCCTTTACTAATTTTCAAGTACACTATTTTTTGCATGAAGCAATTAATGAGAAATATCATTATTAGTACCTATCTTATGCATGTCATTGTCAATATACAGGGTGCGTCTTAAATAAATGCAAATTATTGCAGGGCTGGTAGATCTCGATAGGATAACATATTTTCTCTTTGCCGTTTTTCAAATAAGTCAAAAATAATTGAGTTAGGTTTTACTTCAAAAATTAAAAAAAATGGTAGCTTAAATGTTGAAAACTACTGGATCTTTTCTGAGTTTTCAGCTTTGTAAATTAGTACCTATGTTCTTATAAAAATTTCCCAAATAATTTCTCAAAAAATTTTCAAAAAATCGCAAAAAAGCTTCATAGAGGTATTTCTAGAGTCGAAATATACTACCTCTAAAAATGTTTGCATTTATGCTGTATATTTTCATCTTGTTTGACTTTCATCTTGTTTTGACTCCTGTATATTTTCATCTCAAATTGGTCAAATAATATGGCATAAAATATTATAATTTTGCATGGCGAACATGTGTGTCAACCAAACTGAGATAATAAAAATATAGCTATTTTTGTTCATCCTAAATAAGAAAATAACTATAATAAAAATAAACTACATAATTTTTTTTAAAAAACAACACCTCCTTATTTCTTTAACCTATTTAATTATATTCGTATAAAAAATAGACAAATAATATAAAAAAAATAAATACAGAAGAACGAAAATACTGCATCCTTAACACGATTTCTAATGAATTTTGCACTTTAATTTTTATTTTTTTCCAGGGTTTAGTTGTCTTGGGCGCCATCGCCGTCGCCAGCGCTGGTCTTGTCCCACTCACCGTCAGTTACGCTGCCCCAATTGCCCTTCCAGCCCTCAAGGGAGTCGAAGGTCAATACATCCAGGACAACACCGAAAGGCTCTACGATGACGGTTCGTACAAGCCCGAACTCCGTGCCATCCCCCTAGCTCCATCCCCATACGGTCTCACCCCAGCCGGATCTGGACTGGAGGGTGCCTACGTTCCAGACATCAGCGAAAAACTCTACGAAGACGGCTCCTACAAACCTGAATTGCGCGCCATTCCCCTGGCCCCATCTCCATACGGCCTGACTCCAGCCGGTTCTGGATTGGAAGGTGCCTACGTTCAAGACATCAGCGAGAAATTGTACGACGACGGTTCTTACAAGCCAGAATTGCGTGCTATTGAATTGGCTCCTTCTCCATACGGTTTGACCCCTGCCGGATCCGGATTGGAGGGTGCTTACGTGCCCGAACTGAAGCACTAGTTTAGTTAATATTGTGTAGGACTTTTTGTAAATAAATTAAACTTAAAATATTCTGATCAACGGATTGCTTATTCTTTATTGAATATATCATCCTTCCTTATTACTTTTAATATTTTTAAATAATATGTGAATAATCCTGTACCGTATTATTCCTAGACATAAAATTTGACTACAATCAATAATAAAAATAGCTCTATGACTATTAACTTTGAACTTACAGAGAACCTTACAAAACATCCTTAACATTAAGCTAAATCCTATATAATAACAATTAGGTACTTTTAATATACAGGGTGATATTCTAATAAGATAAATAAATAAGTAAGAAACTTCGTATAAATGTATGTCCTAAAATGATTAGTTTCGGAAATACAGGGTGTAGAAATTTCATTTTTATTCCGATTTTTTCTAAATAATCTCTGAAGTAACGTCAGAATTTGGATGAAAATTGGTGTCTGGGAGTTTTTGACAAATATTTAGAATAGAAATAGTAAATACATGTCATTATTGACAAAAATAAACGTGTTGAGTAGATAGTTATTTCACTGTAATGATACATTTGGGATTATCACTATATACATACATATATACTTTATTTTTTAAATTAATCATAAATTTTTCATTGAAAAAACGATGATGAAACAGTTTCTGTTCAACTTTTGGTACAGTAGTTTTTTGAACAGTAGTTTTATTCAGGTACGGACTAAAAGTTATTACTCTCCAAACCGGTTAAAATATGTATATATATATATATATATATATATATATATATATATATATATATATATATATATATATATATATATATGTGGTGCCCTCTACAAGTTGGAGTCATATTGACATCAAAATCAAATTTCTTATGTCAAAAAACTCCCAAACACCAATTTTCATCCAAATATTGAAGTTACATCAGAAATTATTTGGAAAAAATCGAAATAAAAATGAAACTTCCACACCCTGTATCTCCAAAGCTAAACATTTAAGAAAATAAATTTATACGATTTTTTTTACTTATCTTTATCTGCAGAATATCCTGCTGAAGTTTCCGGAATACAGTTCAGACCATCCTGTATAATTTCTATAATTAAACTATAATTTAAAAACAAAAATCTTACAGTACAGAAGATAATGTATCCGAAAAAATGAGTTTGTTAAGATAGCTACAATTGTTCAAACGCAGTGACAATTTTACAGAAAAATTTACATCAAAACGTGCGTTTTCGTACTACTAAATGAATACCATTTTTTATCCGTTTAAAACATAAATGATTTAACTACGAGAATAAAAAATGAGTCGAATCATTCAACAAAGACTGTAAAAATCTATTTTTTTTACCAAAAAAACCTCTAAAATTAAAGAAATAAATACTGTATCAAATTTTTAGTAATATATAAAATATATGATATTAAATATATTATAAATAATAAATTCTAAAAAATGCCAAAATTATATTAAGAAATATAAAATACAATCAAAATCATTTTTATAAAAGATAAAAACATATTAAAAACATCACAATAAAAGAAATAGTTCTAAAACAGATGTCAGTATTTTTAATCTGTCATTATCTAAAACAATAATCTTAATTTAAATATTGAACAGGATATTGCCTTAAAAGAAACATAATTCGTTATGATAATAGGATCTAAATTTATCCTTGCCACCTATTAATCCACAAGCGTTTGGCAATATGTTAATGTCTTTAATAATTGTTTGTCTTATTTAGTAAAGTATTAAAAGAGATAAATGTTCTCAATAGATACTTAAAAAGTTGGCATGTCAAATATATTTCTGCCTTATATGTTCTGCACTGACATAATATGTTGAAAATCCTTTTTTCTGCATAGTCATAATTTTAATACGGATTGAACATGTCTACTCGAAGAACTGTAGTATTAAGAGGTGCTATGGTGCAAATTTTATTACATAAAAAGGAACTGCATAATCAGGATATTCTTGTTTTTATGATTTATGTAAAATTCTAGGCGTTGTCTCTGTTTTGCTCTGATACACAACACGATTTTTATATAGGGTGCGTTGACGATTTAGTTGGATTCTTACTGCAGTGGCGTATAATTATATATTTTCTTTAAATCAGTAGAATAAAAATATTGTAATAATAAATACCGATGTGAAAAAGCTGTGTGAAATTCATATTAACCTAAAATAGGTTAATATGATTTTTATATATATATATATATATTTAGTAGGCTAACAAATAAAATTTAATTTTAGGTAAATACACTCAGATGCTCTCTCTGATTTTTTTGGTCTCGTTTTTTTTAAATCCTATATTATTATTTTTTTTTAGTCATATTTTCTTGATTTTTTAGCAAACACTGTAAATAAATATTTCAACTTTAATTCGTAAACTCAGTTTATTATAAACTTTAGTATTTGACTTATTATAAGGGTAAATCGAAGACTTGTTTTTTACCTTACCTTTAAAACACCCTGTGCAATAATTTATTGACCAAATTTTCCGAAAACATTATTTTTCGGCCAGAACCATATTTCCTGAGCATTTTCTTTTTTGACTTATGTCAAGACATGCCTTGATTAATTTTTATGAAATAAAAGAACTTGCCACCAAAAATTTTAAATTTTTTCTTCAACAATCATTACTTTATGATCTTATTAGCCGACCATACCAATAGATATGGTAGGCTATTAAAATCGGCAAAAAAAAGTTTTTTTAATTTCACTCAAAATGAGTTATTTGGGTCAGAAATGGCCTAAATACAAAATATTTTCATGATGTCTGTCTGTTTGTCTGTCCGTCTGTCCGTCTATCCATCTGTAACACGATAACTCAAAAACCACTAAACCAATTTTAACCAAATTTGGCACAAAAATACTGTGGCACCCGAGAATCTGACAATTAGTTTTTGGTGAGGGTGGGGGGTTGGTATGGGGGTATGGGAGGGGGTTAAAAATTTTAAAAAATCCAAAACTTTTTAACTCCAAAATTACAGTAGCTAGCGAAACGCGGTTTTCAATTTAAGATTAGGAATAATATTTGCAACAAAATTTGTAAAACCATCAAAATCAGTCAAAGTCGCAGTTTTTGAGATAAAAAAAATTGGAAAAATTCATTTACTTTGAAACTAAAAGAACTGCCTACCAACTTTTTATTAATATATTTTAGTATGGGCGGCTATACGTGCCTCCCGGCGCCAATGTTTTTTTAATATCATGAGGTGGCTTTGGTGATTATTGTCATAATGCCATATCGACAATGGCTAGAACTCTATATTAAAATTTACAAAACGTTAAAAAATAACGATACAGGCTTGATTTTAATAAATATTAGTGACATTAGGAGATCTACGGATATTAAAAAAATAACAGTAATAACAAAGTGTACAAACAAACAAAAAACTTGTAACAAATACTCTAGTACTTTGTATTGCCTCCCCCGCCGGCTATAACTGTCTGTAGACGTCAATTCACACTCTTAATGAGACTGCAAATATTTTCTGTTAATATTTCACATTCTTCTTCAAGGACCAATCAAATATTCATAATTTCGGCCATCTTCAACAACATCAATGACTTTTGCCCAATAATCACCAGAGCCACCTCGTCATTATGAAGAATAACATCAAAAAGTAACGATAATTGAAAAAATTGCAAATGTTTGAGGCTAGTTCATTTTGCTCTTAAAAATTAACCAAGGCATGAGTCAAAAAACAAAATATTCAGGAGACATGGTACTGACCGAAAAATAATGTTTTAGGAAAAATTGCTCACGAAATTATTGCACAGGATGTTTTAAAGATAGGGTAAAAGACAACTCTTCGATTAACCCTGTATACTAAGTCAAATACTAAAGTTTATAATAAACTGAGTTTAAGAATTAAAGTTGATATATTTATATATAGTTTGCTAAAATCAAGGAAATAAGGCCAAAAATAAAAAAAAATATTTAAAATTTTAAACTTGACAAAAAAATTCTCCGTTGCGTTTTTTTGCATCTGAGTGTATATCTAAAGAGCATATTATTGGCACATTGATGCACAACTTTGCCCTAATTTAACCATCTTCGTATATCTTATAATTGTCGAGATTCCAATAGTGGGGGTCGATTTGCATTACCCTGTATAATAGACAGCCGATACTATAATCCAAGATCAGGCCCAAGAGGAAATACTTAAATCACCCTATCTCTTCGAGGTTCTATAAGGGCCCAGAAACCCCTCTAAACAATAAATCGCTTGTTAGAAAAGTCCCTAAGACGCTCCTGATCTATCGCAGAAGAGGAGTGCCGATGCTGCCAGTGCTGCAGCTTTTCAGGGAGTAATTGGGTGTGCAAGGTTATCGGACAAACTATAAAATCCATTGCAATCTGCACTTTGTTATCACTTGTTCTAGTGCAGTAAAACTCTAAGAGGAATACCCACACACATACACAAGATGAACACTTTGGTGAGTGCGCACAAATCAGCGTTCGAACGTCGTATTAACGTTTTCTTAGTTCACCCTATTAACAATTTATATACTTTTTCGCTTATCTGAAATTATTACCAAAATTATAAGGCTAATCTGTCAAAATTTAAGACTGTTTTTGTAAATTTATTTGAAAATTGTCCTTGGACAAAAATAAATTTTATTGACAAAAATGTTCATATTAAATTAGAATTTTTAATAAAAGTATAAAAAAATAACAAAACAAAAATACTATTAGCAGGTAAAAGTTGCTTAATATTTTAAATGTTAATTTTATACGTTGACATCTATAATTTAACTTTGAAACTTAGTCTGCTTAAGATACACTAGGCAATTTTAGTAATTGGCAGTTTTATTTAATTAATGCAGTAATATTTATAACTGTTAATTATTTATTTGTCATTATTATTTATTAACTACTATTTTTTTTACTTTAATTTTACATTACCAATATACCGTGTGATCGAAAGAAAAACATCCAAGTTGGCCTAGATATGACCATCAATGGCATCCACTTTGTACGATGCAGGCGATCTTCATTTCCATGTCAACTTTGATGTCGTTTTTTGATTATATGGTATTTAGTTTTCTAGTTATATCCTTTTTCAATAAAAAAAAATAATTATTATTTATTATTTTTTGTAGTATTAAGAACTGATCACTGTTAAAGTATCAATTAAAATTACATCTTATTAAAATAATTTCAGAAAAATAAAAACTAAAAATTTAAATACAAGCTGCGTCTCAAAAGTGGCTCACCCTATAACTTTTTTATTTTGTCAGATTTTGTCAGTCCTTGCCTTAACATATTCCACAGGGTGTTTCAAACTTTCACCAAAATATCAACATTTTGCTTTTCCTCGTATAATTGACGGATGGAAACCTTCATTTTTAATTTAGCAAAACACACTAAAAGGTCAAATAATTTAGCTACAAAAAAACTACAAATTGCTTAAAAAATCATCAAAATCGGCCCAATAAAAACAAAATACCGGGTGCGTCTCAAAAGTGGCTCACCCCTATAACTTTTTAATTTTGTCAGATAAAAAAACGAGATTTGGTATGTTAGTATATTACATAAATTAGGATTGATTGGACGTATTCAGTTATTTTTTATCACTTCCTGTTTCACCGGAAATGACTACAACTTTTGATTTTTAAATGGAACCTTTTATTTGATAGAAAATGACACCTTGAATAGAATGACATATCATATGTCAACTTTTGATATTTTTGCTTAAACAAATCGTATTTTTAATTTAAATCTCGAGTGCCATGACTGTGTTAAGAACACTAATTTTTAATCAAGGGGCTTTGGAAATATATATTTGATCGTCTAATGTTTTTTGTGTCTTGTCTTGGCCGGTTAAAAGATGCCCAAATCGTATTTTTAATCATATCTCAATTTTTTCAAATGAAGCGATGGTGGCTCATTAGCATATTTGGAAAAAGCATTTTTTACGAATAATTGGTAACACATAGTTGGTATTTTGAGTCAAATTGTTGTTATGAAACGCATGTTAAAATTTCAAATAAACAGTATGAGAAAATGTCCAAAGTTGACATATGATATGTTATTCTATTCAGAGTGTCATTTTCTATCGAATAAAGTAAAAAACATCGAGGGTACCATTTAAAAATCAAAAGTTGTAGTCGTTTCCGGTGAAACAGGAAGTGATCAAAAACAAAATTGAATACGTCCATCATGTCATAATAATTTATGTCATATACTAATAATCTAAATCTCGTTTTTTATCTGAAAAAATAAAAATGTTTTAGGGTGAGCCACTTTTGAGACGCACTCGGTATATTGACACCACTTTGTGAAGATGTCACAAAATAATAAATAATCCAGGGTTGTAAATTTTTTCGAACATAAGAATATAGTCTTTCTAATTTTTGAAAAATTAGAAATATTTGATTTTTCCAATTAAGGTTACAAAATATTTATAATTCTATAAAGTACCTTTACAAGTACAACAAAATGTTATTTACAAATTACAAATTTCTATTTATGCTTTTTTTCAGGGATTAACAATCTTTTGTGTGGCTGTAGCTGTAGCCAACGCTGGCTACTATGGAGGTGGTGCCGTCATTTCTGGACCTGCCGGAGTTATTAAAGCATCAGTTGCTCCAGGATACGTAGCACCTGCTTTAGGCCATGCAGCAGGTTAGTGTCAAACATTATCGTTATATCTCGAAATAAGCCGAGATCGAAAATCACTTCGACTGCATTAGATATACTGCTTTTAATTTTAATATATTTTCAATATTATATCTTCTTTCAAAATTTCTTGTTGCCGCAGTCAAAGATTTTTCTAGATATTTTTATTTTTATGATTTTGCGTCAGTAGATCTTTTTTAATATGTGATAAATTCTAGGTGGCTGTGATATATCTTGTGTTAATCGGATTATTTGTGATATCTAGATTAAAATATTCAAAGGTCACTTTTAAAACATAATATTTTAATTATTAGAGAATTACAACTAGATATAAACGTATAATTATTTAATTATGTGAAAAATTTTGGTTAGTATAGAAATCTAATGCTCAAAATGCTTCTTTTCCTGTTCACTGCATAAAATGATTCTCTCTACAAAATATCTTTTCATGTTAAGATGCATATGTGGAGTTCTACTTCGAAAAGCAGCCACATTCATTTCTCTCTTGTTATCGATAATTGTTCGTCGAGATTTGTAAGCACTGGCTTTAACATATCACCAAAAAAGCCCAAACTAGATAAATCAAGAGCACTTCTATGAATCCAGACATCAATTTATAGAATCTTGTCAAATTCTCTCTGATGTAGGATAAGTTTTAATTTTCGGCAAATTTCTGAGATTTTTTTTTCTTTTAACTGACACAAACTGATAACTACTTGTTAAAGTTGAACTAATGTGACGGCTATGTTGAAGTAACGTCAGACATATCCTCGGGCATATCACAACCACCTAGATTTTATCAAATAATAAAGATCTACTGACATTAAATCATGAAAATGAAAATATCTAGGAAAATCTTTGTTTGAGATTTAAGCAACCTTAATAATGTTTTCAAGAGACATGAATTCATCGTAGAATATCGGAAAAATATATGGGTGTTCCATTTAAAATAAAAGAGTAACTTGCTTTTAAAGGTGAATGTTCAATATTAATTTTATCTCACCCTGTATAACTTTTTGGGTCAAGTTTTAATTTGATTTAAAGTACAATAATAATTTCAACTATATATTAGGCTATACAGGGTAAATTCCAATTTAGGTAGCTTTTATTTATTTATAAATTTAAAATTTGTTCTTCATTTTTAGAAAATGTTAAATATTTATGCCGAAAACTATACATTTTAGTCATACACTTCTGCAATGAAACTCACCTTTATTTTTCTACTAGAATGCGAAAATCAGTTAATATACAGGATGGCGCACCTCATTCGCCTGGGTTGATTATACGAAAACGGAAAGATGTAGAAACAGTAGGTAATGTGCACAATTTAAAATTATTTTGAAATATACAGGGTGTTTCAGAACTAAGATCCATACCAAAGTTATATTTTCTCTTATGGAACACCCGGTATTTTATTTCATTTTTGGATTCTTGGGCCCAAAAAAAGGTATTTATTATAAATGTTAAATATGTTTAAAATCTTTAGTTTTTGAAATATTTAAAGATATTTAAATTGTCATGCTACAATAAAATAGACTATTAACACTCTGTACATTACTTTTCGGAATTAATTCTTGTGCTGAGTTTAAAGGTAGAGAAATAAACTTTACAGAAAAATGTTATTCCTTCCTTAAATGTTTACAGGGGTATCAAAAAATCTATTTTAAATATTTATTTTACATAAAAAATTCGTTATTTCAAATGCAACACTATGTATTTTGTTAAATAAGTCGAAGCAGATTTAGATGCTCTTTCAAACTATATTAGGGTTTCCTATACCTATCTGGCTCAGATTTTGAATAAAAAGCGATTTTTCAATAAAATTGTAATCAAGATGGCTAGTGTTGTCAAGGCAAGTTTCTAGTGACAATTAGTAGCTATTTTCAAAATCGAAATTAGTTTATGGACTTATTTAAATTTATACCAGTTTACTTTTATTTAATTTACCTACAATAGTTTAATAAATAATATTTAATGTGTTTATTATTCTATCAAGAAAAACGAAGAAGTAGTCTTTGAATTATTTTATGATGAATTGTAGATACATGGATTTTCTATAAAAGCATTTTCTTCACTTCCAACGACAGGTTTCTGCCTAAAAGTTTTTTTATAAACCACACTACCAGGCGAAATAGGACAAGAAGTTTCTTATCAGGAAGATTCCTATTTGAATATCTTTGAGCATAAGCCCTTGATGCCAAGAAGCAATTTTCCTCACATAATAATATCACTAGTAACATATCTATTCGTTCCGCCAGCAGATACTGCTTTATTTTTCTTGATAAAATAATAAATAATGAATACTTACTTATTAAACTATTGTAGGTAAATTTAAGTAAACTGTTATAAATTATAAATAATAATGTCCATAAACTATTGTCGACTTTGAAAATAGTTACTAACTGTCACTAGAAAATTGCCATGGCGACACCAGTCATCTTGATTACAATTTTATTTAAAAATCGCTTTTTATTCAAAATCTGAGCTAGATAGGTATAGCAAACCCTAATATAGTTTGAAAGAGCATTTGAGTCTGCTTCGATTTATTTATAAAAATACAGGGTGGTACATTTGAAATAACAAAGTTTTTATATAAAATATATCCTTAAAATAGATCAGCAACTTTTGATAGCCCTGTATAAATTTAAGGAACCAGTACCATTTTTCAGTAAAGTTTATTTCTCTACCTTTAAACTCAGCATAAGAATTAATTCCGAAAAGTAATGTACAGGGTGTTAATAGTCTATTCTATTATAGCATGCCAATTTAAATATCTTTAAATATCTCAAAAACTAAAGATTTTAAACATATTTAACACTTATAATAAATGCCTTTTTTTGGGCCCAAGAATCCAAAAATGAAATAAAATACCGGGTGTTCCATAAGAAAAAATATAACTTTGGTATGGATCATAGTTCTGAAACACTCTGTATATTTCGAAATAATTTTAAATTGTACACATTGTCTCCCCACATATACCCCTAAAATATTTTGTTTCTACATATTTCCGTTTTCGTATAATCAATAGAGGCGAATGAGGTGCGCCACCCTATATAGGGTGTTCCATTACAAAAAACACAACTTTGATGTGTAACTTTCTTTGGGGACACCATGGAGAACTCTCTATATTTTTAAAATATGCTTTCAGTTAACCTACATAATATCCTCCCAAATTTTTTTTTTATATAAACTACCGTTCTCCTTGGAGTCTCCGCGTCGCATGAAAGGCGCCACCCTGTATTTAAAAAAAAATAAAAAAAAACGCCACCGATAAACTGGAATTCAAGTCAGCCATGTTGAAACACCTTCGCGTACCGTATTTTGATGATATACTCTTTCCCAGGGTTGGCATGATTTAAATCAAATGATTTAAATCATGATTTAAATCGTGATTTAAATCAAGTGATTTTTTAAATTTTAATCATGTGATTTAAATCAAAAAATTAATTTTATTAAAACTTTATAATAAAAATCAAAAAATAACTGTAAAAGTTATAAAAATCTATCTTAGAAAAATATAAAAAATATTTCTATAACAGATAATAAATCCAAAAATAATTGTAAATTTTATAAAACTGTATAAAAATACCTATTCATCAATTTTAATGTTGAACCGATTTTTGAAGTAATTTCGTGTGAATCCAGAGGACTGCTAAACGTAGCGATTTATTTTAAAATTTATGTATAAGTGACAAAAATTCGCTGTTCGAATACATATCATTCGCAGACTGGTGCAGAACTAGGTTCTTCTGATATAAAGACTATATCTTCATTCCCGAAAATGTATCATCGTTGTCAGAATATATGTTGTTTTATATTCTTTTTTTTTGAAACGGTTGTATGTTTCCAAATTCTTACCGACATTTTGATTCGCAGTAAGTACTTTATACTTTGACATTAGATAATACTATTTTCATTTTCGACTTAAGACTAATTCCGAACAACAGTTGTTGTTTTATTAAGAGTAGAAATTATACTTTTTTTGACGATGCTGTACATTTTCAGGACCATCGTAAAACTATTCCGACGTTACATGGAGGCACAAAAAGTACATTTTAGTTGGAATAAAACACCATTTTTTTAAAAGATTACATTTTAAAATATTACAAATAATTTTTTAATCAATTTCAAACATTGCAACTAATACAAACAGTAATCAAGAAACGATTTGTACACTCGTTGAATTTGACACCGAATATCAGTTTAATAATATATTTTTGCACTTTTGTGCTTAGGCGTAACAGTGCTTTACTTTTATGCCTAGCCGTTAAAATGACAAAAATTAATACTTTTGAGACGTTTGAAAGAAAATCCTTTTGGAAAGGAGCGACTTTTTTTGCGGAATATATTGGTGACCGATGTGGAAAAATGACACGCGCCGTAGAATTGTTAATGTTATCGGTATCGCTCAGAGTTATAAAGATTTAACCATTTAGGATAAGTCCTAGTCATTTGGAAATCCGATTTAAATATTGTTTTGAATTAAAATGAAAAAAATCTGATTTAAATCAAAAAAATCCGATTTAAATTAAAAAAAAACTGATTTTTTTTTTATTTTTTAAAAAAAATCATGATTTTTTCCAACCCTGCTCTTTCCCCAATCGTCTTTTAATTTAATGGATAAGATATAATAAAGATATTCAAAATATGTATGAAAAATGTGTATAAAAAGATATTCAATATTTTTCGATACCGGACGGTATGTAATAATGATTCTCTTATATTTTCAGCTGTAGTTGCTCCAGCTGTATCAGCCGGTTACATTGCTGCCGGCCCCGCAGCTCCCGGCTACGTAGCTGCAGGTCCAGGATACGTCGGTGGTGCCGTCTATGGCCCTGGATTCTATGGTGCCGGGTACGGATACTTGGCCGGTTCAGGACACGAAGGCCAATACATTCCCGACTACACCGAGAAGTTGTACGATGATGGTTCATACAAACCCCATCTCTATGGACATTAAGTCAACTGTATCTATGGAATTTTTTCCGACTGACCTCAGAGAATTATATTACTTCTTGTCATTAGAATACACCATATATAATTTATTGTATTTTTGATGTAAATTATTTTATTTTGGAAACAATAAATCTTTATTGAACTCTATATAATTTTATATTTATTAGTACAAGTCAAATATTTTATACCGGGTCCGCTAAAAGTGCTTCGGGCATATGTAGGTCCTAGAAAAAAAAACTTGGGAATTTTGTATAAGGGCAAATCTAAAGTATATATATATATATATATATATATATATATATATATATATATATATATATATATATATATATATATATATATATATATATATATATATATATATATATATATATATATATATATATATATATATATATATATATATATATATATATATTTTAACTTCTACAGGGTGGCTCAAATAAGAGTAGATCGGGATGATTTTTCTAAATAGAACACACTGTATATTATTGCATTTTTGGCTTACTTTCAAATTACTTTACATAATCCTAAGATGTGAGTAAATATATTTCGATATTTTCAGAAATATTAATAAATAAAATATATTTTTCAACTTCCCTTAAAAAATTGTTAAAAATACAAGAACTGTCCTGAAATCAAAACTATGTTAGGTATTTACTTTAAATGGTCTGTACTTACTTTGCTATCAATATTGTAATCTTAAATCATACAGGATGTTCAAATTTCTACGTCAAACTTTCTAAATTTGTAGTTTTTTTTTAATGGAACTCTAGGTGCCCGGTGGCGTAGAGAGAGGTACAGGCTCTCGTCTATCAATCTGAAGGGAGTGGGTTCGAATCCCACACCCGGCATTTAATCAGCCGACTACTTTTTTTATTAAAATAAAAATAGTTTGGGTACCTAGGTCGACTCAGCCTTAAATGAGTACTTGGGATTCACAATCCTGAGGTAATAATAGGCGGTTAAAGCGTAGTGCTAGCCACATTACCTTCCTTGTATATTGTATACCGAATGGCTCTAGTATGGCAAGCTGTACCTTGCTACTCCCAAGGCGTTAAACGCTATATACGGGAGCTATTATTATATTATTAATGGAACTCTCTGTATACCTATTACGTTCTTATTAGATGGAGAATTCAAAAATAGACAATTTTTGTATTTAAAGCATTTCAAAATTTTTAACGGTTTCGCAGATACTCGCAGTATTATTTCATATGGGGGTCTTTCAACGGTAAAATCTTCTTCTTCCTGTGCCTTGTGCTTAGCCGCACGTTGGCGATTGTCTGTACTCTTCATATAATGTGTAGAGTGCCGTTTTCGGCTCTTCGAAATATGGTGGCTGCGTCGCTGATGTTACACCAATCCCGTATGTTTCTTAGCCAGGAATGTTGTTTTCTTCCTGGGCCTCGCCGTCCCTCTATTTTTCCTTGTAGAATCAGCTTAGGAATGTAAAATTTGTCTCCTCTAAGGATATGGCCGAGGTATGAGACTTTCCTTTCTTTAACTATATTAAGCATTTCTCGTTCATAGCCTGCAGTTCTTAAAACTTCTTCGTTGGTTGCATGTGCGGTCCATGGCACACGTAAGAGTCTCCGGAGAATCCACATTTCGAAAGCCTCGATGCGGTTCAGGGTTCTAGCCTTGAGTGACCAGGTTTCTGCGCCGTATAGTAAGATGGGCCATATGTAGCATTTCACTACCCGTAGTCTAAGTGTTAGCGGAGACTGCGTGCTATAGGAAGTTTTTAAGTTTAAAAAATGTTGACTTTGCATAATTCGTTCTAAGTTTAACTTCCTCGTCGCAGTCCCATCGTTCATTGATCATGGCACCCAGATATTTAAATCGTGGAACTCGCTCTATAATATTTCCATCCACGGTCAATGCGCTGTTGATTGTAGGCTGGCGTCCTATTACCATAAGTTTGGTCTTGGCAGCGTTGATTTTAAGACCGAAACGATTTTCCATGTCCCCTATCTTATTTATTATTTGCTGGAGATCCTCTAAAGTTCGTCCGGGGACATACTGTATATAGTACAGAGGAAAACTTAATATATTTAGTTAAATAATTTGAATTAATTAATATTTGTCATGAAAAATTAAATTTTTTTCTCTCTAATTAACTTAACGATAAAAATAAGACCCTCTATATTATACTAGTAAGTTAGCTAAACAATTTTAAATTATTAAGTATATTTTCTTTTTAATTTGATCAGAGACCAAAGAGAAACATGTCTAAACAAAGAATTTGACAATAACGCTATATTTGAAGAATACATTTTATTATTTAGTATTATTGTGCAAGTAAGTTCCAAAGATGTACAAATATGAATTTAATAAAGCCATCCCGATAAAACGAAAAGTTATTCATTATTCTAATTTTTGACAAATAATTTTTTTTTCATGCAATTATGGAGGCTTCATTTACAAAATGCCTTTAAATATGTTAATTGTGATAACAATAATAGATATAAAAAAATCCTAGGATATCAAAAATAAACGAAGTTAATAATATTTCCTTCCAGAACTTTTCAGAAATTGGATGGTTATATCTAGTAAATATATCAATTATAATATATTGTTTGTGTATCAACTTTTCGCAGCTGTAATACTGTTACAAATAAAGAAATAATTATAAATACTATTTTCTTGACAAATAAGCGAAGGCAAATTTTAAAGACATTAAATTTATAGTAAAAGTGTATACGTGATCAAGGTAGGATAATAATGGTTAATTACGTAACTGTAACAAACAAACACAATAATAATTAATATTCATGATAATTTTTATAAAATAGAACTTTTTAGTTTTCAATCAAAATAACAAAGAACCTAATATATACCGAGTGTATAGTACAACAGAAATCATACAAAATATTTAGTCACGAGAGAAGCTATTCTATTAAGATATACAGAGTGGAGATATTTGAAGTAATTTCCTAAAAATTAATACATATATTTTTTTTTATAATAACATCCAAAAATCTGCAACGTGTAAGTATATAACAAGTGTTTTATGCACAATACCAGTTGATGACAACACATGTTAACTATCATTTTCCTATCTACACGCCCTGCAGAATAGTATATGATTTAACATTCTTTTGTAAATTCCTTGATGTCCATTTAAAGTTCCAGTTACAAAACGAAGACTACTAGTAGACATCGCCCATTATTGGAGAAGTTCAAAATTTCTTAATCCCACTGGCAATTGCTTCTTGAAAAAACACTGTAAAATGTGCATGAAATGCCTTGTGCGTTTAATTACCCTTCTAGTCTTGTTGTAATCTCCACTGAAGGGTGATGTCTTTCGTTTAGAATTAGATTAGGTTACTGTAACAGACCGATCAGGGAAGACTGGATAATTGGTGTACCCATTCGAGCTGGGACAACCTGGTACGCAGATGGGTCAAAAATTATGGCTCATTAGTAGAGCTGAAACAATGAATAACTCTATATCCAAGGACTGTAAGCCTATGGAATGATGTCACAATTTTTCAGGTGAAAATATCGACAAACCATTATTGTGTTTAATCCTTATTTGGGAGAAATAATAAGGCAGGAAACCACACACCGGTTTCAGTTGCACTATTCACAGATAGTGAAACCAAGCTAAAAGCACTGAGTTCGAAAGAGGTTAATTTGTTAGGCCAATGTAGGATTATGTGTGTGCTCTAAATACACTGAGCATTAGGTGAATGTAGCAATGGCCTGAGTAACGAGCCACGAGCCACTTTTGACCGTCAACGAAAAGGCAGATGAAATGGCCAAACAAGACTCTTCGATGCCATTCGTAGGCCAACCCAAAACCCTTTTTTTCAATAATAAGGGACCGTCCTCTGCCGGAAACACGACGAACTGTGAGGCCTATTGTGTTTGTCCCCTTTTTATGTCTGCACCGGTTCTCCTATTCCTGTATCCTGCACCCACTTGCAGGTCCTTGATAGGATTGGATCATTAGAACCATTTAATGGGATGCAGAACTCTTTAACGGTGCTGTAAAAGCCAACAAATCTAGTATGATTGAGAAATTGACCAGGAGAAAAGACGGAAATTGACCAGGAGAGAAAGTTCGTAGATCAGTGGCCAAAATTTACGATAAACCTGATAAACAAAGACAGGAAGATTGTCAAAACTGTAGCAGGTCTACTAACAGGGCATTGCAAGCTTAATATGCATCTAGAGCTGACTGGATTGAAAGACGAAGCCAAGTGCAGTTTTATTGAATCAGAAGATGAAGCGACAGAACATTTTATATGAATGCGACAGTTTGGCAAATGTACGGTTCTTGGTATTACGCACTGATAAGTAGAGATGAGCAAAACTGCGATTCTCCAATCGCAATTGAAACTGCGATTCCGATTTTTAAATCACTGCGACTGTATAACCTGCGATGGCGATTTTAATATTTAAATATTGTACTAGGTATATAATTGTCTGAGTATGTACATATAGCTGAACAGTTTAAAAAAGTTAATAAAAATGAGTTGTTTAGTTAGGTTGTGTGTTTTTTAACATCTGCAGCACATAGTTTAGGTATTACAACTTAATAATATGCTGCAACCGCTGCAACTATACATACCTATTCTTTCTACGGTTCTTAGTTCTAATTCTTAAAGAAATATTTTTTTAAGGTAGCTCGCCCCTATAACTTTTTCATTCTTTTTTGGGGCAGATATTGGGTCAGATCATAACCCTGTAGTGGCGCAATTCAGAATCAAATTAAAAAAGATCAACCGTAGAAATGAATTTAATAAAATAAACCTCAATGCTCTTAAGGACAGCGACAAAAAACATGAACTTCCTACACAAATTAATAGCAAGTTAAAAGGTCTGAAAGAACATATGAATGATATGAAAACTGATAAAATATGGACAAATCTCAGAGATACAGCCAAAGATACTACGTTGGAGATCCTAGGGAAGGCGAGTAAACATACAAGGAAAGACTGGATGACCAATAAAATATTACAATTAATGGAGGAAAGAAGACTAAAAAAAAACAACTTGGAAAATTATAATAAGATCAACAGAATCATCAAGCGTGAAATGAGAATAGCTAAAGAGAAATGGATAAACGAACAGTGAGCTGATATAGAAACCCTGGAACAAAAACACGACAGTTTTCACCTTCATAAAAAGATCAAAGAGGTAACACACACTTATAAACGTACTATACCGGGCAAACTTATTAAAGATAAAAACAAACTGGTGATAGACAAACAAGAAGAACTGGATATATGGAGAGCTTATATAACGGACTGTTTTAATGATTATCGAGAGTCAACAGATCAATGTGACAATTGCTTAGACGGACCAGACATACTAAAGGAGGAATTAGTTAAAGCCTTGGCAGAAACTAAAAATGGAAAAGCTGTCGGTCCTGATGATTTAAATGTTGAAATCCTCAAACTGTCGGACGAAGAAAATATGAATCTTCTACTTAAATTGTTTAATCGCATCTACAACACCGGAGAGATACCTAAACAATGGCTGCAATCCACATTTGTAACGCTCCCTAAAAAGTCAAACTCCAAAAGATGCAATGAGTATCGTCTGATAAGCCTTATGTGTCATACATTAAAAGTGTTTCTGCGTGCCCTGCACTCTAGAATATGGAGAAGGATTGACGAAAATATAAGTGAAACTCAATTCGGCTTTAGAAGTGGGCTGGGAACCAGAGATGCTTTGTTCTCAATACAGGTTTTAGTCCAAAAATGCCTCGATCAGCAGACAAGTGCCTTCGCATGTTTCATAGATTATGAGAAGGCATTTGATAACGTGAAACATGACAAGCTGATACATTTACTGAAGCGGATTGGGTTAGATGGCAAAGACATCAGAATCATTAGAAACTTATATTGGAATCAGTCAGCTTATATAAAAATCCGAAATATGTCAACAACGGATATAGAAATTCTTAAAGGCGTCAGACAAGGATGTATATTATCGCCACTTCTGTTTAATTTATATTCTGAATCGATATTCCCGGAGGCGTTGGAAGATTTAGAAGTGGGAATAAAGGTAAATGGTAAACGTATTAATAACATCCGATATGCTGACGATACGGTGCTCCTAGCTGGCAATGAGAAGGATTTGCAGTGCCTGGTGGACAGAGTTAGCAGTATTAGTCAGAGTCATGGTCTTAAAATAAATATAAACAAAACAAAATTTATGATTATCAGCAAACAAAATATCGAAAATATCAGGATACAAGTGGAAGGTCAAAATATAGAAAGGGTAAGAAGATTTAAGTACTTGGGTTGCTGGCTGAATGATAAATGGGATCCTGATGAAGAAGTCAAACATAGAATTGAAATAGCCAGAAACACTTTTTTCAAAATGAAAACTCTACTCTGCAACCGAGACCTGAATCTGACTACTCGATGGCGAGCTGCCAAATGCTATGTACTCTTTACATTCGCAACAAAATCGCAAATACTATACAGTACAGTAATAATGTTTGCCTAAATTGAAATTCGCAAATAGAAGAAATCGCAGTCGCAGTTTCCTATGAGAGCCAATCGCAAGTTGCGATTGCGATACTAAAATCGCTGCGACTGAATCGCAGTTTACGATTTGTTGCTCATCTCTACAGATAAGCCATTGACAAAGAGCTATAGGGGGGGGGGTCAGTCTTCAAAAGTTTCAGTCTTCAAAAAACTCTTCAAAACGACTCTTTGAAAAAGATAGGCTTGGAGATGACCTAACTTAGAGATCAAAAGAACACCACAATAAATCAGAAAAGTCGCAGTGAAACAGGCTGACACCTGGGCTGATAGCCACGTCAAAAATCTAATACTATCTAATCTACTTGTAACAGGACTATTTTTGGTCAAATGCATTTTATATTTATGATTTTGATGATGTTTAAGAAAACGAGAAATAAAATACTTTTTTTTTTCTTTTTGCAGTTATTTAGTATTGAGAAGTCATATATGGAAAAATCTGTTATAAATGACGAATAAACAGATTTTTCTGAATCATTCGATCAATATATTCCGATTCCCCAAAAAAACCTCGTTGTTTATATAAAAACCCTTACACCCTACTTATTCTCGAAAGAAGTAATATTTTATTCCTAAACCAATATATTTCTGTTACCCTCGCAGACGTATACGCATACACGTAGGGGCCGTATATCACCTGCCCCGATATTTTCAATTCTATTTCATATTTCATCATGCCTTTTATTCCCGCTGATAAAACACAAAAAATATTGTTTATCCGTTGCTGCGGGGTGTGGACATATTGGCAAGGTTACCAATCCGACTGAGCGGGTATTTATATAAAATGGCGCGCTGTGGAGATTTGAATAAGATTTATTTTCAGTGGAAATAATACCCCGGTGCTTTTGGTAAACATGAATACTATCGTAAGTATTTTTTTATATTTTTTATATCCCCATATTAATTTATACCAAATGGTGAGTGCATGTGATTTGGGAGTAGGAGAACAATGTTTTTTAGTTTGAGAAGATCATTAACGGTTTTGTACCATATTAGTACATTTTTCGCTGTGTATAGCCTGTCTAACAACAGATTATATGACATGCTTCAAAAGATTATTATTTATTCTGTGAGTAATGCTGGGATGATATCTGTTGACATTATTTAATGAAAAGAGCAAAGAAAGAGCATACCCATCACCAAAATTATCGCAATTGCGATGGAACTTTAATTTGGTTGATTTAAATTCCGGTTTTTTCTACCGTCCTAATTATTTTTAAAACCTGTTAAAATATAAACTAGGACATATTCAATAATTTGCTGGTTTTTCTTTACTTTCAATCAATAAACATTATTAGTTATTAAAGTTAAATGTTAAAAAATACCGGGTGCGTCTCAAAAGTGGCTCAGTTCTATATCGTAAAAAAGATATAGAGTTAACTTTCAGTTAAAAAAAACGAGATTTTGTATATTAGTAAGCATATGACATAAATTAGGATTGATTGACATATTCAATTGTTTTCGGTCACTTCCTGTTTCACCGGAAATGATTACAACTTTTGATCTTTAAATGGCACACTCAGTATTTTTTTGCTTTATTCGATAGAAAATAACACTGAATCAAATGGCATGTCATATGTCAACTTTTGACATTTGCGCATATGGTTTATTTGAAATTATAACATGCGGTTCATAACGAAAAGTTTGAGTTAACTTTTCGTTATGAACCGCATGTTATAATTTCAAATAAACCATATGCGCAAATGTCAAAAGTTGACATATGACATGCGGTTCATAACGAAAAGTTAACTCAAATACCAAGTGTGTGGTATCAAAATATTCGTAAAAAATGCTTTTTCCAAATATGCTAAAATATGCTAAATGAGTCACGCTCGTTCCATTTGAAAAATTTAAATATGATTAAAAATACCATTTGGGCATCTTTTAACCGGTCAGGACAAGACACTAAAAACATTAGACTATCAAATTTATTTTTCCCAGGATTCTTGATTTAATTAGTGTTTTTAATATGGCCATTGCACTCTAGATTGAAATTTAAATACGATTTTTTATTAAGCGAAAATGTCAAAAGTTGACATATGATATGTCTTTCTATTCAAAATGTCATTGTCTATCGAATAAAGCAAAAAAAATACCGAGGCTGCCATTTGAAAATCAAAAGTTGTAGTTATTTTCGATGAAAGAGGAAGTGACCAAAAACAATTGAATACGTCAATCAATCCTAATTTATGTCATATACTAACATACCAAATCTCGTTTTTTATCTAAAAAAATAAAAAAAAGTCATAGGGGTGAGCCACTTTTGAGACGCACCCGTATTTCTAGTAAAAATAAGTAAGTTAATGTAATTATTTAATATACCGGGTGGTGCATCGTCGTTGGAAACAGAAAATCCCATGCAAAATTTGAATTGTCCAGATATTGACTCCCCTGTTTTTTTACTGCAGAATACACATTACAAATTTGAACAATTTTGGACAAGCCGATTTTAAGTCATTTAAGAAAAACTGCATCTATTTTTTGTAAAACATCAAGAAAACTGTCATAAGATTGTGTCTAAGACACCGATTTCGTCTCTAATACCGGGTGATTTTCAAATATCCCTTAAAACTTTTTTATTTTTTTCAGACAAAATAAATGAGATTTTGTCTATTAGTATAGGTATGACATAAATCATGATTGATTGACGTATTCAATTATTTTCCGTCATTTTCTGTTTCAACGGAAATTGCGACTTTTGATTTTTAAATGTTACCCTTGATTTTTTACTTTATTTGATAGAAAATGACATTTTAAGTAGAATAAAAAATTATATGTCAACGTTTGACCTATTCGATTAAAAATAGTATTTTAAATTTCAATCTAGAGTGCCAATTTGACTCGAAATACCAAGTATGTGGTACCAAATTATTCGTTAAACACTTTCTTATCCGACCAGGAAAAACAATAGACTGTGTATTAGTAGATATATAATAGACAAATAATATAGACAAATGTATTTTCTCAAAGAATTTTAAAAAGAAATAAAATTTAGTGATAACACAGATTGCCCTAGATTAAATTGAAATTTAAAATACTATTTTTAAGCAAAAATATCAAAAGTTAACATATGTATATACTATGTCATTCTACTTAAAATATCATTTACTATTAAAGTAAAGAAATATAGGTACCATTTAAAAATAAAAAATTGTGGTCATCTCCGTTGAAATAGGAAGTGACCGAAATTAAATGAATACCGTCAATCAATCCTGATTTATATCATATACTAACATATACACGGTTGTTCACCATATACGACAAGTAGTATTGTAGCTAAACGATTAGATTTTTACAAATGGAAAGTTTTTTTTTCGTTGAAGGACAAAAGGAATTGAAGCTACAATTTAAAAATATTTTTACAAGACACAGGGTGTCCCAAATAAATAAAAAAATATCAAAGTTGTATTTTTTAAATTGAACACTCTGTAAATTATTACAATTTTAGTTTCTACAATTAAAATAAAGGTAAATTTGATTAAGGTTTATCACACTTAAACTTTACCGTTTTCGAAATATTTTCAAATTTGTGAAGTCGCAGTAAAAATTTTAAGGCTTCATTTCTCCAAGGGTATCAAAGTTTTTAATACTAAATATACTGAAGTATATTTATTGATCAGTTGTTGTGTGTTGCAATAATAAAAATAATATTACCTCATAGAGTGTCTAAAAATTTATTTTAAATCTTTTTATTTAGCTTTAAACGGAAATAACTAAATTTAAATGGAACACCCTGTATATTTTAGGAGAATCAGATGTACAATTTAATTGTTTATCAAATTGTATTATACCATTTTTTACCTATCCATTCAAGTTTTTAGATTTTAGATTGTTTTTAAAGCAAAAAATGTACAAAATGTATAGGTTTCATTAGGTTAAGTGGGGTTATAAAAATAAAATGTCAATATTCCATAGGTATATTGATAAATGAAGTCTAAATTATAAGAAAATGCAATTTCTACGAAAACTTGAAGAAATAGGTAAAAAATGGTATAATACAATTTGACATACAATTAAATTGTGCAACTGATTCTCATAAAATATACAAGGTGTTCCATTTAAATTAAACAAGCTATTGCCGTCTAAAGCTAGTAATTATTTAAAGTAAATCTAGACACTCTGTATAAGGTAGTATAATTTGTATTAGTGCAACACAAAATTTAGTACCTAAATAGAAAAATTTCAGTAATTGGTTTTCATTTCATTTTTCAATAATAAGTTTTAAAAACTTAAATACGCCTAAAGAAAACCTACGCCTTAATACGCTTAAAGAAAACCCTAAATATTTAAAAAACGGTAAGATTAAAATACGGTAAACCTTAATCAAATTTACCTTTATTTTAATCATAGAAACTAAAAATGTAATAATATACAAGGTGTTCCGTTTAAAAAATACAACTTTGATATTTTCTATTTACTTGGGACACTCTGTATCCTCGTCACCTAAAATATTTTTAAATTGTAGCTCTAAAAGTCCTTCAACGAACCCAAAACTTACAATTTGCAAAAATTTAATCGTTTACAATACTCCGTGTCGTATGTGGTGAAAAACCCATTATACCAAATCTCATTTTTTTATCTGAAAAAGTAATAACGGTATAGGGGTGAGCTACTTCTGAACAACACCCAGTATAGGTAGAAATAGTATTAGTGTCCTTTGTTTTTTTATTCGCTGTGAATTGCATGCAAAAACATTACGATTAGTCTAGAATAAAACAAACAGGAAGACAGTGACAATGACGTCAACTCTAGAAACTATTCCCATTAAATTCAGGTAGTCGATAAAGTAGAGCACGCGACGGCATCCTAATAGGGATCAGAGCATTAGAGTTCGTGAATGTGTCCCCTCCGAACTTTCCAGTTTGCTAATTTCTTAACTAAACAACTTTCCCAAGTTCTTCGGTTAGCCAAATTCGCTATTCGCGCTAATAGTTACTTCGAGGAGATGCTGATTGGCAGTTCCCTACTCTCTCGCTGTCTGTTTTCCTAGGAATAGCTGTAAACAGCACTTTGGCTGAGTGTTGTTCGCTTATAATGGAAAGTGTCTGGATTAGCGATGTTGAATGATGTATTAAACGTATCTTATATTATTAGACTTACTTGATATATTAGAATAATGTAAAATACAAAATTATTTTTATTAACCTGTAATAAGTAATTAAGTTTATGCCAATACAAAAAATGGTATTGGCTACTCTAAATTCAGTTAAAAATTAATATTTCTGTTATAAACATATTTCTGTGGGTTTCGAATAATCTTAAACAATCATCCATGTTCACATTTGTAGAATTTTTAAAGCTTACAATCTATTGTTTTTGATTTGTAGTTTCTATAATTTAGTTTAGTTTTCTTTCAAAACCCCCAAGAGTCCCCGAGAGTTTTTTTTTATCTAGAATTAATTCAGTGGTCTTTAAATATGGCCCAAATTTATGTTTTTTTAGGTATTCCTGTATTTTATTTTTTTATTTGTCTTAATATGAGCTTTCTAAAAACATAATATAGTCTATATACTGTTTCAAAATAAGGAAACAATGTATTTTTTTAACTTTTTAACATAGGCGGCCGGTTTAAACTAGGTACCTAGTTAAAACAATCAAGTATAGTATTTTACTTAAAGTCAAAATTTGGTTATTGTCCATTCCAAGTTAATTTCTATATGTAGAATTATTGCACAAGTGCACAAAAAATATCAATAACTCTGAACTCTGATTGACAGCGTGTTATCAGAAGTAGAAGTTCATTTTCAGTACAGTTTATAACACTATAGCAAGCAAAATTATCTGGTTAAATTAAATAAAATAAAATAATAATACCCTTTTAAAGTAGATTGATTTATGTTATAAAGTTAAGTAATGCATTCAATCCAAATACGTATAGAGTATAGATAACCGAGATACGATGGGGTCGAAGAATGTATAAAAAATGATATCCTGTATATCAGAAACCAAGGGGGCTAGGACAAATCACTGTGTAGCATCTTTAATTTCACAAAAAAAATAGTACAGTGAAATACTTTCAATCGCATATTTGTATCTCTGCTCATAAACGAGAAACCCCATAAACACACGAAAATGGGACACCCTATAGAGATAGGATATAAAAATCTCCAATTATCTATGTAGTTTGTGTTTATGTAACGATAAATTACTGTTCTACAATCATTATATTAATTATATCTTATTTCAGACTGCAATCCTTTTCTTCGCCATCCTGGCTATCACCGCCGCCAGTCCAGGTCTTCGTGGAGCTATCGACGGCCCAGCTATCATTTCCGGACCTTCAGGAACGGTCAGAAGACCAGGCAACCTCCTTCTAGGTCAAGGTCTAGCATTGGAAGGCCGTCTCCTAGGCGGACCAATAGGAGGAGTCGAAACCAGAATACTACCTGGTGAAATTCTGGCCGGACCAGGCTTGGGTCGTGAAATTCTTATAGCTCCAGTTCTGGAGGGCAGACTTCTGGCTGGACCTGGATTGAGAGGTTTGGGTGAAGGAAGGATCGGTTTGAGAGGATCAGGTATCGAAGGTCAATATATTCCGGATTTGAACGCTAAGTTGTATGATGATGGTACTTACAAACCCCGTTTATACGGACCTTAGATCTATGATAAATTGCTGACTGGCATTCAACGACTGTTTAAACTAATGTATAAAATTCTGCATGTGTAAGATTCTTTTAGTAAATAAATTATTGTAAATATTGAATTTGTCTTTTTATTTGTAGTTATTATGAGCAGGATATACAGGGTGTCTCAGGCTGAGCGTGTATTAGAAGTTTCTAGAGAACTACAATATCTAGATCGTAGATTTTTTGCACAGCATTGTTTCACAACGAGATCTATCGATTAGAAATATTTTAAATATGGCGGCACTTCCGGAAAAAAGCAACTTTATTATTTTAAATGGGTGCCCCCAGTTTTTATTACGTAGATACTTAAATTCTCTGTAAAATTTTATGAATGATATTAAACACTCTATTCCTAACACTAACCGTTTTTGAGAAAAAAAAGTATTTAAAATTTTTGGACGAAAAAAACTGTCTGTCAAAAACATGTGTATAGCCTATACGTCAAATTTAGTGATTACCATAGCCACTGTGTCATAAAGAGAAAACATGTGGTTATGTATTTCAAAAATTAAATTGTTCGAATGTCATATAATAATGAAAGCAGCTGCCATAGAATTGAGTGAATAAAAAATTATTATAAATCATTTTTTTTTCAAATGAAACCCCACTTTTTTTATTTCACTAGTGAAAAGGCTTTTCAATTCGTTATACATTGTCCCGATACCTAGAATAAATTATTTTTACGATTTAGTTTTGAAGCGTATATTTTTCTTGATTTTAACCAGTAGGACTATGACTTTGAACGTCAGGTGATGTAAAGCAATAGATCTGGCTATGTCATATTGTGACACTTTGTTCAAAAGGCAGTATCTTATCGATTATCATTTCCAAGCCAACTTTGCGCTGATTTTTCGATCATACGATATATTATTACTAATATCAACAATTACATAACACTAAAGAGCGAAAATACGAGATATATTTTTATAAATACTCTTAAGGCAGGCAGTATTTATAATATAGGAAATTCAAATAATTGACATACACAATAAATGACACTTAATGTCAAAGAAAATTGGATAAAATCAAGAAAAATATACGTTTTTAAACTAATTCTTAAATAACTTAAAAACGATTTATTTTAGGTATAGGAACATGTATCCTCAAAAAGTAACGAATTGGAAAACCTTTTCACTAGTGAAATAAAAAATGATCATTTTTAATCGGTCAATTTCATGACAGCTACCGCCATTATTATATGACATTTGAACAATTTAATTTTTGAAATAGATACACCCATCTCTTCTCTTTATGTCACATTGGCTGTGGTAATCACCAAATCTGATTTTTAGGCTCTACAAATTTTTTTGACAGGTATTTTTTTTTCGTCCAAAAATTTTAAATATGTTCTTTTCTCAAAAAGGGTTAATGTTAAACAATGATGTGCAAAAAATCTCCGATCCAGATATTGTGGTTCTCTAGAAACTTCTAATGCACGCTCAGTCTGGGACACCCTGTATATTATTTTAGATACATCAGTAAAAATTGACAGTGACGCTATATTATTTCTGAAGTTGAAGTATTTAAATTTGGTAGAAGACTTTTATAAGTAGAGAGATGGACAAAAATTAAAATTTAAAAATATTTCAGTTAAATGCTTTACAGAGTTTCAAAATAAATTTATAAATTTTATAATTTTTTTATCGACTTTATTTAAAATAAAGATGATTTACTATTGCTTTTTGAGATGTCACACCCCATTTATATTTTCTTTGATACATTTAATAAATCTGTTCAACTTTTTTATCTACCTATGTATGTCATATACAGGGTGTTTCTTAATGACATGCTAATATTTAAAGAGGTGATTCTAGAAGATTAAAAAAAAGTTAAATTTTTGTTTTTTACTAAAAATAATACAATGTGTGAAAGATTTTGTTACCTTGATGGTTCCACTCATTAGTACTGATTAGTGTTAATAAAATTAATAATATACAGATATGTATACTTAAATGAAGGATTTTGATAAATTGGCTACAAATAAGAACCAAACCAAACTTCTGCGACGTAATTAGAACTAATCATGTGAGCGCTAGAATTAAGAATACCATTCAAAGTGAAGGTTATATTTTTATATTTCGGTTACTTTGAATGGAGATGTAGAGTACACCCTCTCGCATAAGCACTCGTGACATGTTTCATTGACCAATATTATGCATAAATTAATTTAAATATATGCATGTCTTTTTACGAATATAATATTATTTATGCTTTAGTTATATTTTAGAGTTATACTTATTAGAAAGTAAAAATATACTAAAATATCTTATATACCACCAATAATCATAAATACCATACAATCGAAAAAAAGGCGTCAAAGACGGCTGAGAATGACAATCGATGTTAACTTTTGGCGAGCTCAAGCCCCATTTACTGGGCGTATTTTTCTTTACTTTTCAAATGTCGCTTACTGCCAGTTGGTCTTAAAATGGCTTATTTTATTTTAATATTGAATAAAAAAATGATTTTTAGACGGTGTATTTTAAAATTCGGGAAAAAATAATTTCTTGGAAATAGATTTGTGTGTTTAGAAGCGTTCTATCTTTACTTAATCTATACTAATATATAAAATCTTTAAGTGACTGACATACTGATTAAATCACGATCCTGCTCAAACCACTCAACGTAAGAAGCTCAATTTTGGCATACAGGTTGATTCTAGGGTGTAGAGGTTCGATAAGAAGGGATTTTTTGAAATTCCAGTTCCAAGAGGGTGAAACCACCCCTCAAATATTACAACATTTTTTATTTAAAAAACGGTCAAGTTTCCGAAAAAACGCTTAAACACGTATATTTTATTTTGTTTTTTACATATTTTAAGATTTTTTAAAATGTATACAGGGTGTTTCGAAAAATCTGGTCATTGATTAATCACGATCCTGCTTAAAGCGCTTGACGTAAAAAGCTGATTTTTGGAAAACAGATTGACTATAGGGTGTAGAGGTTCGATAAGAAGGGATTTTTCGAAACTCGAACTCTAAGGGGGTGAAACTATCCCTCAAATATTAAAATATATTTTATTTAAAAACCGGTGAGTTTTTCGGAAAAACTCTTAAACACGTATATTTTATTTTGTTGTTTTATATATTTTAAGATTTTTTATAAATTTATACAGGGTGTTACATAAAATATGACCAGTAATCACGGTTCTGCTTAAACTGCTTGACGTTTAAAGTTGATTTTTGGCAAACGGATTGACTGTGGGGTGTAGAGGTTCGATAAGGAGGGGTTTCTCGAATCTCAAATTCTAAGAGGGTGAAAACGCCCCTCAAATATTACAATATTTGTTATTTAAAAAACGGTTAGTCATTCGGGAAAACTCTTAGACAATCATAATTTATTTTGTTTTTTTACATATTTTGAAATTTTTTAAAAAATCATACAGGGTGTTCCAAAAAGTTGGGTAATTTCTTAACCACGATTCTGCTTAAACTGCTTGACGTAAAAAACTTATTTTTGGCAAACGGATTTTTCGAAAGTCAAATTCCAACGAGATGAAACTACCCCTCAAATATTACCAAGTTATATAATAATATCGCCATATTGTTTTTTCTCATGCTGACATAAATGTGAGAAAATTTTATCCAGTTTGTATGTTAATGGAAATTCTTGCTTTGCTTTATCATCACCATTACAAATGATTAATTCGTCGCGAACGAAGTCGCTGGTACACGCTAGTCTTTATATAATTAGTGTTAATTTTTGCCCAGTATTATGCTAATTTTTAGTAAATGAAGTCTAGAGATTGACTTCACCAAAAATATTATCGACGGTCATTCACAGCCGTCTTTGACGCCGTTTTTTTATCATACGGTATAATACGGTACTTGATACTTAATATATAGGGTGGGTCTTAAATAAATGTAAATATTTTCAGGGTAGTATATTTCCATCCCAGAAACGATTATGAGGTTTTTTTCCAATTTTCCAAAAAATGTGGACGTTTTTGAATAAAAAATTGTCTTTTTTAGTTAAAAACATAATTTCTTGATAATATGGCAACATAAATGGTAGATTAAACGTGCAAGAAAGAAACCCCACAAAAGATCCAGTGGTCAAGGTTTAAGCGTTTTTTTAGAAATTTGAAAAGTAAAATAACTCGGTTATTTTGGACTTCTTGGAAAACGTTAAAGAGAAAATAGGTTTCTTTTATCGAGATCTACCAGCACCGAAAATATTTGCACTTATTTAAGACTCACCCAGTATAATTGTCTATGTTATTATGATTATAGGTAATAATTTTAATAGCTTTTTTTATCCTGGTTTTTCAATCTAAAAGTACTCACCCCTATACCTTTTTTATTTTTTCAGATAAAAAAAAACGATATTAGGTATGTTAGTATATGACATAAATTAGGATTGATTGATTTATTCAATTGTTTTCGGTCACTTCCTGTTTCACTGGAAATGACTACAAGTTTTGATTTTTAAATGGCAACCTCGGTATTTTTTTACTTTATTCGGTGGAAAATGACACTCTAAATAGAATGACATATTATAATATGTCAACTTTTGACACTCTCGCTTAAAAAAAATGTATTTTAAATTTCAATCTAGAGTGCAATGGCTGTGTAAAAAACACTAGTTTTTAATCAAGGAGTCTTGGAAAAATAGATTTGATGGTCTAATGTTTTTAGTATCTTGCCCTGGCTGGTTAAAAGATAACCAAATCGTATTTTGAATAATATCTCATTTTTTTTCAAATGGAACGAGGGTGGCTCATTAGCATCTTTGGCTAAGAATTTTTTACGAATAATTTGGCACCACACACTTGGTATTTCGAGTCAAATTGTCGTTATGAACCGCATGTTACAATTTCAAATAAACCATATGCGAAAATCTCAAATGTTGACATATGATATGTCATTCTATTCATAGTGTCATTTTCTATCAAATAAAGTGAAAACATACCAAGGGTGGCATTTAAAAATCAAAAGTTGTAGTCATTTCCAGTGAAACAGAAAGTGACCCAAAACAATTGAATACGTCAATCAATCTATCTTAGTATACGACTCAAATTAGTGTCGTATACTAACATACCAAGTCTCATTTTTTATCTGAAAAAATAG